ATGTGCATGGGAATAAATATTTGTGAATTCTGCTCTTGCTGTTGTCTAGATTTCTTCTTTTTTCTTTTCTCTTCTCTTCTCTGTATTGGGAAGACCAGCTTAGAGAACGGCCCATGTTACAATCTCTGTTAGGGAAAATGTTTTCTGCATACCCTAATGAAGAGTTTTCAGTAGTTTATGAATTTTAAAGAAGATGTCCTGTTTTCTGAATGACAAGCCATAGAAATTTGCTTTGTCTTCATGGGAGATTACTCTGTGTGTGTGTGTCTGTGTTCTGTTTAAAAAAAAAAAAAACCAAAACAACAAAAACCCAGCCAACAAACAAAATCTAAAAATCCAAAGCACAACAGCAACAACAAAAACTTTATTTTCCACTTTCTTCATTTGATAAAAATCTCTCCACTGTAGAATGATTTCCTTTGGGTTTGACACCACCATTTGATCTCAGTTTTTAATAATTTTGGTGGGTTTTACTCCCAGAAGAAAACATGCTTGTGCTGTGAAGTATTCCCACTAGAAAGCTGGGAAGTCTTAAAACCTCCTGTTACTCAGGGCAAAGAACTGGCTTCTTTATTAATTCCCTGCTAGACAACCCCTGTACAGTAAATCTTACTGTAACACCATGCTGTTGAAATTAATCAAACTGATGTTTGGAAATTGTTCAAATTATATTAAATTAAATAACACCTAGATGGGCCTCAAAACTGTGCTGATGGAAAGAGATTTTAATCTAAAAAGACAAATTTTATTGGTGTCTCTTCTTGTTGGTTGATCTTAATTTTATACTTATTAGGACATGCAAGCACTGCTCTCTGTTTAATGCCTGGAGAGGAGGGTGGCTGAAAGAGCAACCTGCTCCTCAGCTTTCTGTGTCCTTTTCTTCTTTGTTGTGATTGCCAAGTCTATGATGGTTATGTGGAAGTGGACAATACATAGAAGTTTAGTGCCAATAATATCACATTTATTACTTGTTTAAAGCATGTACTACACAAAGTATGATTTGCAAATGAACAAAAGAAACAGTGCAGGACTTCTTAATATTTGTTCTCTCTCATCCTTCTAGTTGGTCATTAGAAATTCGCAACTTTTACTTGGAAGTCTTAAAAATGAAAATGTTTTCCAGGGAGCTGTATGACTGCAGTTTGATAATACTTTTAACCGGCTTTAAGGTTGTTTTTGGAAAAATGAATGCTTTATGCAGCAGAGTCTCCCAGGTTTTCACTTCTTGAATGAAATATCTGTTTCTCTTTCCTTCATTTTAAAGAATTGATTGCTCCCCAGTGAAATAAAACTATAGATTAAAATGGGCAAGGAGGAGAAAATGTGTATTTGGACGCTGGTCTCTGATACATATTTAATTTCTTCTTGTTTTCTCTGACCCTTAGAAGAGTATCAGCAAAAAAATGCAACTGTGTTTACAAAGACTTTTCTGTACATTGCAGCTTTTCCATGAAAGCAGCAGTGGAGCTTAAATTTCATCTCTGATTTGTTTTAAATATATATGTTATATAAATGTACTGGTCACTACTAACCATTCTGATCTTCTGGGTAATAGTGGGAACAGTTTTTCAGGGGTTTCTTTCATGGATTATATGTAATTCTTACTGTGTATGGATGTCCTTATAAAAACCTTTATGTAGGTCTTAGTTTACGCTCCCCTGACATTTTATGCAGATGCCATCTATATGGGGTCAAAGCTCTGTGAGAAGTATGAAAGAGCTGCTTCTAAGTCAGTTAAGTGAATCAAAATCAAGGAGAAAAAGTCTTTTTTATGATTTGAGATTGCTGTTAATGTTTTGTGTGCATACCAACGTTGTGTTCATCCTTTAAGGAAACAAACTGTTTCCTTTTTTAGCCCTCAGATTACCCCCGTTTTTCTCCGTGTGTGAAAATCCATGCCGTGTGTCATCCACCATGAGCTGTGCAGCATCACTCACTGCAGCATCTTTGTGGAGCTGGGAGAGCGAGTGCACAGAGTTTCAGTGCCGAGGGAACCTCAGCCCTTTCCGTGCATGTGCATGGGCAAGAGAGCATGACAGGAGCTCTGGCTGATCGGTCGTTAGGGAAAGAGCTGAGGAGTTTCAGGATTTATGAGTAAGGCTGGCTTGCACTGCAGTAACGCTGCATGTGAGACTTCATTATGGATGCTCGGTCTCCTGCTCTCTGAGTATTGCTCTAGGTTCTTCAACTGGAATGACAGCGAGCAATGACTAACTTGTATAGCTCTTCTCTAAGGGCCCTGTAGTGAGCTGGAGGTGTAACATATGCATGTAGGAGTGAGGCATGGCGTGTATCAGTGTGTAAAGAGCATGTTGGCCTCTGACTGCAGGTATTTTTCCTTCTGATTCCAACATACTGAAAGTATGTTAATTTATTTTCAGATAACGTCAGGTAACCGAGAAGCTTGGGGTAAAAAATCCATTGGAGATATGACAGTTTAACTCTCCAATGCAAAATAGAGGGCAAAGCGGTTGAAACTTCCTTGGAGTAATATTTACTTGGAAATAGGTTGGATTACTGTTGTTTTTTACTAAAATAAAATTGGTATTAAGATTCCAGATGCCCTAGTGAGAGGCATGAGAATGGGTTAGCAATGACAGATGTGGTAACCTGCCCTTTGCTCTCTGCTTTTAAGATACTAATAGCAGTTTATCATCAGTTACACTGGGTCACTGAGTCCCTGAGTTCAGAGATTTTTTTTTCATAAGCTGTTTCTGTAGCAGGGTCCCTGCAAGCACGGACAGCAGGATGGGGCAGGAAAATCATCATGGGCAGGGGTCCTGAGGGTCCTTTGTGCCATCCATAAAGTGATATCGTGAATGGCATCACTTCTAGCTTTTGAGATCCTGTTTGTACTCAGACAGCAAGGGACGAGAGCGGAGAACAGGTGCAACTTCTGTGCTGAAAAGGAGAGACTGTTGTTTGACAAGGAAAGCATCCAGCAGGAGGATAAAAAACACTATGGCCTCCCTCTCATCAGTTTGCTTCATCACTTTTCCTGTCTTGCCAAATTGTAATTTACACAACTGATATTACAGCCTCAGCATTTGGCCAATTATCCTAATCTTTTGCCAAGACATTAATAGCCCCATCAAAAGTGCTGTGACAGCCTGTATGTTCGACAGGACTGGAAGTTTGTCACTTAAAGAGACTTAGTTTCGTTTTAGCTAGTTAAATGGTTTATGAACAAATAGAATTCAAGTTTTAACCTTTGATAGGAAGAGAAATTTTGTTACTGATTTCAGTGGAACGTGATCAGCCATGTGCTGTCTTTTCAGGAAAGCACCTGGAGATATTTTTCACTGAGACTTTTTTTAGCACGGTGTGTTAGAATTTGGCTGCTTGAACTTGCAAAATGCATCAATTTAACCCAGAATCAAGCAGTGAAGAGGGAGCAGTATCTGTGTGATGCTGTAACCTTCTTGCAAATTACTTCAGGATGTGTTTCAAAACAAATAACTAAAACACATCAACTGGATATCGTAGCCTGTAACTCCTGTTGTGGGCCTCTCACAAAGTGAGAATTGTGTATCTAAAATATCTTTTAAAGTAATTTAGTCTCTGGAAATTCAAGACAAGGAGTATTTAATTCCCTTAGCAGTTGTTGGTGTGACTGTATTTATTTCAGGGCAGGATGACTCCTCTGAAGGGATATGTAACTATTGGTTTGTAGATACTGATGCTACAGATAGTAGAATATCTCGAAGATATTTAATGGACTTCATGCAGGAGACCTGAAATGTGGCTTTCTCTTCTTTTTCCCTTAAAGAAATACCTGGTCCAAGAATGCAGTGATTTGTGTCTGGTCTTTCATAAACATATAGAGATATCTTTTTTTGTAGTTATTTTCTACTGGAAGTGGGTATGTTTCATTCTGAAAAATAAGATTTAGAGGAGAGCTTTCTGGTGGTATTATGAGCCTTGGGCGACACATCTGGAAAACTGCTATAGGCTGAGGTTGGTCTCTGCCCCAGTATTTCCTAGTTTATCTAGGGACTAAGAAGTTGTAACCGATTAATAAATTTCTGTGACTGCAGGTAATGGTTTTTCCTTTGGCACCCTGACTACAGCCAGGCCTGTAGCAGGTGATGGAAATGGTTGTGCAGTTCTGTAGGTTTTCTGTCTGTTCCCTCTTCCCTCTGTGCATGCACGGTAGGGTTGTTCCCTGCAAATTGGCATGTTTCTCTACTGCCTGTTGTATTGAATCCCTTTAAGTTTGTGCCCCACGATTTATTGCCATAGATGACTTGATCCTGTAACCACAAAAGTAAATTTACAATAAACCAGAACAAAATTAAATCCAGACCACCCCCTGAGTTTTCCACTTCTGTGGTTCCTCCTCATCCTTGATGCTCTTTCGAAGAGAGCCGTTCTCACTCTCTTCATGCATGCAGCAAGAGGACAACCACGGGTCTCTCCAGGTCTGTGTAACCATCAGCTGCCAACACAAGGTTATAATTTTCAGCAAAATAAGTGGAAGAATATTTTCCATGTACAGTGAGAAGACTGGCCATGGTCTAAAAATGCACATAGACCTTAGTGTCCCCCAAGGGGACCTGCCTCTGCTGATTCCTCCATGCGTTCGCTGTGTAGAGAGAAGCAGAAGTGGCATTTGTGTGTTGGGTTTTTGTATGGCTGAAAGTGGAGAAGCTCTGACCTGAAAGAATAGAGACATCCATGGAACTGTAGAAAACTTCTGCTATGTTGAAAAAATCTTATTAGGAAATCGTGTTCATCCTAATGCTGACTCTGATTCTGTTCCTGAACTGTATTCTCTTGAGCTTTTAGTGTGGTTTTTAAATGAGTCAAGTGATGAGACTTCAGTATTTCCCTTGGAAAGAAAACAAAAGCTATTCCACAGGGAAGAAAGGCAGATTTCCACTTATGATGAGCCTTCTAGGAGGTGTTTTAATTTACAGCTTTAATCAGAGATGTATGACACACTTCTTGTTCCTCTCTTATTGATGCTTTGTTGTTTTTGGGGTTTTTTTCCCATCCAGGTTTGATGATTCCCGTCTTTTGTGTGGTGGAGCACTCGGACGCCTCTCTTGAATACGATAATCGAGAAGAGCATGCTGAGTTCGTTCTGGTTCGCAAAGATGTGCTCTTTAGCCAGCTGGTGGAGACAGCGCTCCTGGCTCTGGGGTATTCCCACAGTTCTGCAGCTCAGGCACAAGGTATTCAGTAAAGTTCTTTTCCCCCCTTCTCTGCACTGCAGAAGACAGCACCTGAGGTTGTTCAATGTAAGGAGAAAGCAAGAAAATTAGTGGCAAATCTTGGAAGTGGTTATATCAGTGTGTTAATTGTTTAATCTTAAACTAGGTGTACAACAAGCCCTTCCTTGTTAACCTGCCTAGAAAGCACTAGGTAGATCTTGCTGAAGCGTGCAATATGGTCACAATGATCAGTCAGCATATTCATGACACACTTGTTCTGTACCACAAGGCAGGTCGCTGCTCCCAGGAAGTCAGCCCAGAAGAACTGGGTAGAACCTGTAGGTGTACAGCTAGATGGTATCTAGTCTTCTTCTTTGTCGCAGGGCTATTTTGAACAGAGTATTGTAGCCTTTCATTTTTTAAATTATACATTGTAGAGAATGGTTACATATATATACATGCTTTCTTTATGGCAAATAGTTGTAGGGCTAAATGTGCAGGCTAATTTCTCTTTTTTCACTTACCTACTATATTGCTACAAAGCTCTGTGTAAAGCTCTACAGTTCCTTCCACTTAGAGATGATTCTCTGTTAGCAGCAAAATCCTAAAATAAACAAAGCTTTCCTTCCCTACCCAAAATATCAGCTTGAAGAAAAACAAACTGAAAATCCTAATCTTGAGGGAGATGGGCAGGAGGTGGTGGGCTGGGAGAAATCTTTCCAGAATGAACCTTGCATTTCAAGAGGCTTTTTTATACTAAACAGGTTATTTCAGTGCTTATTCTTTTGGATGAGAAGCCTTTAGGTTTGTTTCATCTCCATATCACCAATAAAACCTGTGCACATTTAGAGTAGTTTAATAGCAACTTTGCCTGGGGATTTGGATTTTGTCTGTTGGTTTTAGTTATTTTGTATAGCTGGGTATTTGAATGTGGGAACAGAGGGAACATTGGTGGTGTTGAATCCAGGAGTTCCAGGCAGTGGTTAATAGCATGGACTCCTTGTACAAACTTCTTTCCAAACGGGGTGATAGTGATTCATTTCCTCTGTCAGACTCTGCTCTGTGAGAGAGGCTCAGGTTCTTTATACAGGCAAAGCTCATGAACATGTGTTTATTTACATAATATGGTAATAAAAGCTCTGCAAGAAGGTAGTTGTTTTGGGTTTTAATATTAAATGTTTCGTGTCATCTTAGGAACTCTTTTTTTTCTGAATGTAAAAGGTCAACGTATCCCACTGTTTCCATCCTGGTGAGCCAGCTTTCTGTTTGACAGCACTATCCATCTCAGTTAACACAGTTGCTCAACATGTTGCGAGCTAACATGTGGAACATGCTGCATTAGGTGGCCAAAATTTGATTCTTGGCACTTACGGAGGGGAATGGGCATTGCAGAAAACCTGCTCCACGGAGGCATGCCATGCAGTGCAGTGATCCACACTGGCTCAGCATCTCACTGGGGGGAACCTTGCTTTTGCAGCATCTCTCTGTTGTGAGAATAGTGAGGAGGAGAGACAGATTGACTCACGAAGGAAATTAGTCACTGTGCAGGGAGGAAATGGCCACTGCGTTTTTGAACTACAGGCTTTGACAACGAGCAGGTTCAGCTACTGATCTCTCGCTTGACGTATTGCTCAAATAACTTGACTAGAAAATAAAATATCTAATTGTTGTAATTAGTCTAAAAGAAAATACTTCAATATTTTCATCTTTGAGGCAGCAATTACCTTCCACTAGACAATATCAGATGGCATATATGTATACATATATATATAAATGTCTTAAAGATCCATAGCTAACAAATCTCTTGGTCAGGTTATTTACCTTCACACGGAAGGACCAATCCACCAAAGTCTTTTAGACATCCTGAGCAAATACTGCTGGCCATGCTGATTTTATTATATGAAGCTGAAGTATACAGCATGTTCTGTAGCATCTTGCCTCTTTGCTAGCAGTCTGTAAGCTGAGAGATGAGGTACAGACAGAGACAGAGTGCCAATAGATTTCTGAGATTGTTTTGTTTAATTTGAAAATTAATAGAAAATTGGGTTCTAATCTGTTAACTAGAGTTGACAGAAGCATGCTGCTAAATTGCTGCTATAAGGACTTATTAAGGGAACACAATTTTCTGATATTAAAAACGGAAGAAAAATAAAGCTGTTTGCTTTATTCATTCTGGCTGTAGGAAGAAAAGTCTGCTTCTATTCTAGTGCTTGGGATTGATTTCCATTAGCAATACACATTAATAAACGGTCACTTAGTTCTTCTTCATGATCAGTTGAATTACAGGATCTGCATGAGAAGCTGAAGATCCTCAGGTGCATTTTTCAAAGCTTTGAGCAACATGCTGTGCAAAATGGTGACGTGAGTAGGTGTCCCCATGTCCTCCAGAGACAAAGTAAATGAGTTTATCAAAGCTTTGGTATTGTAAAAGCTGTAACATAGTATGTCGTAATTATCACCTTTTGGGTTGGGAAAGTGTTTCATTTCGCCCCCCTCTTCTTTTGGATGACTCTGAGAGGAGCAGCAATTGCATTTCATCTTGTGTGAAACAGCGTGCTTTCACCTGTTCTTTTTAGAACAGAGTCTTCCAGGCTGGGGGGAAAGAGGAGCTGTGGCAGTAGAGAGAACTGCTGTACAACTTCACGCTGCCTTTGCTGTGGTTCACCATGGCAGTCCTGCAGAGCTACCGAGGCTCGAGCAGGCGGTGCGTGCCCGGCGTGCAGGGCCCTGCCTCGCGATGCCTGGCTGCACGGCAGAGCCTGGCTGCTAGAAAGGGAACATGGCACGGAGTGGTAGGTGGCATGTTGCCTCCCTGAGAGGTCTGTGTGCCCAAAGGGGCACTGCCATGGGGCTGCTGGCCAGGGCTGCAGCCTGGAGCTGCAGAGTTCTCCAAGGAGGTGACGCTGTGTCTGAACATATGAGCTGTAATCTGCGCACACACAGCTGCCACCTGGCCTGAGCATCATGTACTGGCTTGTGGTCACTTGGCTGACCATGGATAATTTTTATTCCTGGTCATTAGGTAAATACATAAGCTTTAGCATAAACAATCTTGAGACAAATATGTATCACGAGGTTTACATGAAGGTGGCCTGTGCCTCACTGTAAGAAGCTCTTTATTCCCACACAGTTTGGCCAAGACACATTTATTCCACAAACAGCTGGTTGTGAATGTTTTTTGTTGATGGTGGTGGGAGCAGAGACTTTTCCAGCGAGTGCTGCCCTCGTGAAACTTCCCTTTTCTGACAGGAGCTGTGAAATATCTTGTGGAACAGCATGGGAATTTGTTAACAGCTTGGCACTGGGGTGTGAAAGTTGGTGGTGTGAATGGCAACAAAGGTTTAATAAACATTTATGTATTTTTCTTTCATCACTTGAGTCTACACCTGACAGTAGGGAACCTGCTACATGTGCCTTTCAGAGAGGAAAAGAGTCATGCTTTAAAGGGGCACCTGTTCTATATGTAGTTTATTAAAATTTCCATGCCTGGATGAAATTTTTTTTTTTTCCATGAGTGAGCTATTCTAACTGGTCTGTGCAAGAGAAGGGAACTCGTAGGAGGTACAGAGTGCTGAGTGCTAGGACAAAAGTAGTATGAAAGTAACCAAAATCTAGTGTACCCTGTGTACAGTCCTGCAGCTTTGGGACCTGCTGTGAAAGCTGATTCCCTCCTCAGTGCCGGGTGGAAGAAGGGCAGAGCTAGTTTGATGCTTTTAGTGTCTACTTTCTTAAAACCCACATGACAAAGAAAATAGTGTGCTTTCTTGTGGATACATGTTTTTTCTTTTGACCAGTTCCTTGTTAGCTGTTGTGAGTGTGTACACAGACTGGTATGCGTTGTCTGCAGAAGTTATCCAAGGTGAATGGACCGTTGAAATGTGGATTACCTTCCCCCAGGTCCTTCAGCTGGATGTGTTGGCAGGGCAGCGTGGGGTGCCTGCCCTGGCTGCTGCCTGGGGGCAGCTTTAGTGGGGTACTGACAAGATAGTTGCTTGGGTTAGTTGCTGTGTGTAGCCACAACAAGGAAAGGGGCCTAGAGGAGAGTGAAATGGTGCTCAGATGCCAAGTGGAGCAGAAGGAAGGAGAAAACAGCGAAGGGAAGTTAACACAGAGCAAGGGAAACATTAGATCTTTCCCATCCCTGCCACTGTAGAGATTGCCAAGCCAGGGTTCTTAAGCAATGTATTGCCTTGAGCAGAGCCATTGCAAGAGGCAGTGTCTGTTATTGTCACTGCTCCAAGGCAGCGTCTTGGAGGCCTCTCTTCATGTGCCCAGTTTCTTCTAGTGCTGCGTATGGACTACAGAGAGGGAAGACTTGTGGCTGCAAACAGCTGTGGGTCAGAGTGGAGGGCTGGAAGGAGAGGCTGGCAGCGGTTGGTGGGGAAGGTGTAGAAGAACAAGAAATGACAAAAGTTTAAGTATCTTGCCTTGCCATGTGGAATTGCGATAGTGCACAGGGACGAGAGTCATACTCTGTGGGGATTGTGGTTTAGTAAGCTCAGATCAGACAGCTCAGCCCCGTCAGCCTTGCATCACTGGAGTGGGAAAGAGGAGAATTTTGTTGCTGCTGGTCGGTGCCTGGCCAGAGTAGCTGAGGGGGTACCTCTGCCCAAATTTCATGACACCCAGAAATGTATCTCAGGACTAATGGTCCTACTTCAGCTACCTTGCTTGTGAAGCTCTGATATTGCTTGCAGTCAGGGGACAGCTTGGTTTTGGTGCTTCTGCAGAGCATTGTGTTCTGCAGCAGTGGTGGAGGTGTCCTTGCAGTGAGCTGCAGCAAGAGAGAAAGGTGGCTCTCCTGACTGTAGAGGAAGGAAACCAAAGCACAGACACATAAGAGCTTTGGATCCATAGTGCACATGGCTGGGGCAGGAAGCAACCCAGACTGCAAGTGTGTTCATTTTCTTCAAGGGCTTAAATATGTGAGCTCAGCCCAGCTCTCTGCTGTTAACTGGAGGCTCCTTGGACTTGTAGCCTGAGTTTTAGTGTTATTTCAAAGCATGGACCAGATCTGTGTG